GTTCAATTAAGAATGATAATATGGTAACATATCACACTGAAGTAGGCTGATTTAAAATGAACATTTATTTAAATTTAAAGTTCTTCTTTTGGCAAAATTACATTTCCTTTATAGCCTAAACAGAGGCTTTAGCCTACTCCCTTTAAACTTAAATTGTCAATGTTTCATTTTTGAAAACACTCTTATCGGAATAATTTTTTGTACCTTTATAAAGGGCATTTTCCCCCTAATTTTATTTAATGTATGCTCTAAATTTCATTTCAAATTCTTACATTTTATCAATACATCAATTAAAATAATAAGACACTAGGCTGTTAGCAATCAAATTGAAAAATTATAACTGTATTAAATGAGATTATGAGATTGTTTTGAATATTTTTTGAATATACAAATAAGGAATGTTGAAAAGAATGATACTTTGAAACTAAACCGCCAGTAGGAGGCGGCAGGCGCCCGTCTTAATGAGCGAGTCATTGAGTCATTCATTCAAACGATTCGTTCAAACGGCTGATTTATTCAAAATGAGGCGGTTTAATAATGGGTAATTGAATCTTTGACTCAAGCGATTAGGTCAAAACGCTGAATCTATCGGTAATGGATCATGGATGCTGTGAGATGCGCTGGTTCTGTTGTTTGGAACTATTTTTGCTGCTGAAACAGAACAAAAACAGTCAGCGTCTAAAAATGTAAGTAACTTAATTTTAACTATTTGTTTATTGAACTGTTATGAAATCAATATCTTGGTTTCAATCGCGATGGCATTCACAGGAAAACAGCACTCTGGTCGTGTGTAGCCTATAACGTTATATTGTTTCTTAACTATAAATTTGACAGAAGCGGCCGCCTCATAATTGTCTATGCAGGAAAAACCCTGCAGATGACTACTCCCTCACCGTTGTGCCGGTTGTGCCATCGTTTCGTTAGCTTGCGTATCGTTAGCTTGCCTTGAAGAGCTTGATGTGAGCGTAGTGTGAAGTGGCTGAGCGTAAAGCCTTGTTTATACTCGACGCGTCCGCATGAACCAAAAATGACGTTATTGTAACGACGCGCGCGCCTCCGGATCCCCTAGACACCATTTACTACACACAGTAGACTCACACATGGTGCATTTTTAATTAATAAGTAATAATGAATACAAATATTGGTGTTTTTCGCGATCGACTTAAAATGCTTCCAAGATCGACTTGTCGATCGCGATCGACGGGTTGGTGACTCCTGCATTAGTGGATCTGGCAACACGGAGGCTGCACGCGCGCCCTCACTCACAGCGCGCTCTCAAGCCCCGTTCACTACGCTAGCTTCTCGCAGCAACATGAATTGTAAACACTCATATGAGGTGGTTTAAACGGGTAATTAATCATTCAGAGAGCTTGACATTTTATTTTTGAATGTAAAAAAATGACAGAGTTGCCGGACCTCACCTCATAGCTGGCTATACGGCCATGGACTTGTAACATATCGTTAGCATTGTTGTCATTGTCAGCGGGCATCACAAAAAAGTTTGTTACCTTCTGCAATTTTGCTAAAAACGTTTTGCTTTCCTCCCGCTTCCTGGTTTTTCAGTACCGCTTGGGTAGCTTCGCTTAATTTTTACTCTGTCTACTACTCTGTACACTCTGTCCGTCACTCTGTACACTGTCTGTTAATCACTTATTTTTCTCCGTCAGTTTTTTTGGCGCATTACAGCCTTGTCACTTTCGCACGCAGAAAGTGAAATAATGGAATAGTCCAATGTAGTGAGGTGGGGGGTCCCCTCCTGTCTGCGACTAATGATTTGATGCCTTTCTTCGCAAATGTTTTTTAGAAATATATAATTTGCGAAAAGTAAAAAAAAAAAAAAAAACGTAAGCATAGTTTAATGGGGCATTTTGGGGGCCCCTAGGTAGCTCGGGGCCCAAGGCAATTGCCGACCTTTGCCTAATGGTTAAGTCCGTCCCTGGTCTTCAGGAAGCCGCTTTGTGTGTGCATGTAAAAAAAAAGAGATTGTCCAAGTTAATTATTGTTTGTTTTGAAAGGAAAACAGTATGGCACGCTCTAAACAGTTCAGGAAGTTCCTATTTCCCATTTGTTTAGGACCGAAGTATGCGCGTTTGGCTCTTTAGGGAGCTGGATGCATTCACTGTAATAAGATTTAGGCCCCACAATTTAGGTAACCAAAAATCGCCATAACCATAAGATTTAGGCCCCGCGGTGCCTTCGATTGTGGGGATCGTAGATGGAGCTGGCAGAAGAATTTGACATGGGTGTTGCCCTTCTTCATTCTCCTCCCGCTAGCTCCATTGCTCTCATGCCGGGTTATAAAGCCCACTCAGCCTCTTCTGATCTGGCTGAGAGCATCTTATGAGAGCATGTTATTGACTGTGTCTATCTAGTTCTGTGGAACTATGTGGAGGGCGTTGAGGCAGATGTTATCAATGAGTCCGCCTCCTCTGCTGGCCCCGCATATGAGGAGCTAGTAGGGGAAGACCAAATCACAGTTAGTGATCCATTCTCTCATCTGTCTCCCTCTCCATCACATTAAGTCTGGGAATTTGACTTCAGAGGTGTTACCTCGCACTCCCTTTGGTAGGGCTGCTTTCTAAGAGCTTTACAGTTGTCTTTGGCTCAGGCCAGGGGACTAGTTGGCTAATTACTAGGCATACTAGTGGGGCATTACTAGGCATACCTGGGACTAGGCATACTAGTAGTATGACAGAGAGAGGATGTGCACAGTTATCCCATTTGTTGCCTGCTTCAGCTTAAGATGGAAGGAGTACCATGGATTATGTATTGGCATGCCTTTGTTCAGCATGGTGTAGTGGGTATTAATGTTCCCATAGCGTCAACACCATAATGCAGCGTCGAGTTCCGTGAAATGGAACGTCTGGTTACCTGGTTCCCTGAGATGGAAACGAGATGCTGTATCACGTTGCCATGCTTTGGGCACGCCTGAGTGTCTTTCTTCAGACAATTCAAAGTTGTAATGTATTCAATTCAATTCAAACGTGTAATGAAGTGTATACGAATGGTGCTCCATGTGATGTCATTGGACTGTCGTCAGTCAATAAGTTCCAGGGAACTGGGTTAAATACATAACCCTAAAATGTTCTCCATGACTGTTTTCATTTCCTCCTCATTTACAGTTTCTGTGTGGACCAAGCTGCTGATTCCAAAATAGTAATTGATTATTGATTGTAAACATGGTCACTCACATGCAAATGTATTCTATTATTAACAACTAGATTATTGAGGTGAAAGTGTCAAGGTTTTGCTTAGTTCATTTTCAGAAAAAGATGAGCAAATTTGTTATAAGTATACGACAGTCGCACATCTAGTGTTCAATGACTCGTTTAATTCAACAGTGGTTTTTCAATACAAAAAGAAACACATTGCAGTGCAGGTGAAGCAGAATTTAGCTGAACACACCAGTGTCCATTTGCCATAATATATATCAGGCCTCTATATAAAGACCTCTCAACATCAACAGACATGACTTTTACTAAAAATCTTAATATCTACATTGTTTTTGCTGAGCAGAATTTTTTTGTTACTTTGCATCACTCTTCTAAATTAAGGTTTACTGTTGTTAGGGGATTGTGATTTGAGCTGGTCTAATTAACAGATGTCCCTCTATTAGGAACTGCAATGGTACCAGCAAACTGCAGTTTATTCCCTTAATGGAAAAGAGACTTTGAAGGACATTTCAATCTTCTCTCCTTCTCTCTGATTAGATCGTACCATAATTAACAATCAGCTCTTCATCAAACTTCATTGTGGCAGTTACAGTTTATCTGCAAAGTTTTTTACATATGGATGTGAGGGCTTCCAGTCCATAAATCAAAGTCAATGATAAAGTGAAGGCCATTTTCCTGTTCAGCATATATTCAACTTCATCTCCTAGTGCAATCCATTGCAAAAAAGATGATAGATGATCATCTTGGCTTGGTCCCAGTCCATTTCGTCCAAGTGAACCGTAGGTCTAAAGTCTGTTGATCAGATCAATACTGTGACCGTCACAGTCTGAAAACTGTCCGGTCAATAATGACTCAATTAGAAATCGTTTTTACAGTGAAAATGCTGAAGATCTGACTGGTTTGTAAAATTTGACTGGTATGAAATAACTTTCTAAACCTTTTTTAGTTGGAGACATTTAAGGACATCTGAAGACTTAGTCTTATAAACTAAATGCAGTCGCGTAATCAGAATTAAGAGAATTGATTCATCTTAAAAAAAGAGTGTATTTGCTGTTCCTAAACTACAGTAATAAACTATCTTCCCTTGAAAGACTATATTGGTCAAATAGCAAGACCAGCACTAGCCAGCATCAGCAAACCTAGAGCAGTCAATTAATTCCATTTCAGTAGGGATTGTTGGTCCAGTCATATTCTTCATTAAGGCTTTAAAACGCTCTAAAAAAAGACTTTTTAAAACATTTATAATAATAATGAGCAATAGGAAAGTTATTAGCGTAATTATGCATGAATCAAATTTCTTCATGTGTGTTTGTTTGGACAGTTGCTTTGTGCAAGCAGGCAGTAAAGATGTTTGCTGGTGTATGATGGTGGGATAAGAAGCCACAGCCACTTTCTCCCAGACAGCATGAAACAGTCACCATAGCAACCACCACCTTTTTATGCTGAGCTCATTAAAAGCAAAGCTTTGACCTCTACCAAATACAAGCTGCACTTGTCATCCTCAACTAACGGGACGGGATGATTCATCTGTATGAAATCGTTTACTGGAATGCAGGTTTTAATTCAAATCATTGTGTGGTGTGTTTCTTAAATATTAAACTGGCCCTTCCATAAACTAAAATTGGTGATTTTACTATGTGGAGATTTAAGTGAAGAGATTGTCTCCAAATTGATGTATCCTGGGGTCAAAAAATGAAATAATACATGAAAAATAAACCAATGTGTAAAAAAGAAAAAAATATAAATGCCTTTAATCGCTTATTATCTGTTTCAGAGCAAGGTTAAAATATTTGAATAGTATTAAAAAAAGGGTTTACTTTTTTCTGGGCACTTACAGTCTCCACTTCCTACTTTTACACTATGTTTTGGTTACTTTTCCAAATTAGGTTTGGGAAATCATTTCAACTTCCTCATCACTGCTCTAAAAAGGATGCTGGATGACTTCCAGAGAGTAGCGTTTGCCCTCTAGACATTTAAAGCTTAATAAAGCATTTCTTATTACACAATAAAAGCAAAAAAAAAAACACATACAAATGATTTGGCAAAAGTCTGGCAGTATTAGTCACTCAGAAAAATAAAAACAGCAGATTTTCCTCACATTACACTGTTTAGCATCAAACAATCTAGATAAAAAGTTTTCAACATGAAAATTACAAAATAATTTCTGGAGCTTCTAAATACTGTTCTGAATAGAAAATAAACAACTAACACCGTGTACATTTTTTTTTCTTGAATGATTGCACACACTGTTCGTCTGATGAGGGCCCCGGCACCCTGTATTTGGGGACGAATTTATCTCCAAAGTTCAGTTGGTTTCATTCTAGAGGTCAGAACGTAAAGGCATAAACAACGCCCACCACTATAATGTTCCCGATGGTGGCTGTGATGGCGATCCACAGCCATATGGCATCTCGGGACATGGACTGCTGCTCCTCCTGTTGGTTGTGAGCTGCCAGAGCGGCGGCGTGGACGCTAGCAGAGGAGTTGAAGAGAGAGTGATCCGTGCTGTAGTCATCGTGAGGCGATGAGTCCATGAAGGCTCCTGTCATCACAGGGATCTGATGATGGAGAAGAGATAAGGTAAGACGGATGACCACACAACCAAATGATTCAATCTTCTACATCGGTAACACTCTGATGCGCATCATGGTCTGGCTTTATAGACATCTTACAAAACTCGGTAACAATTGGATAGTCCACTTTAGACATTTTGCTATCTATAAGTAATTTGCAACTACATGTCAACTAACTCTTGTTAGTATTAGTAGACTGTCTGCCTTTAATATCTGGCAACACTTTATATTGATGCTCCCCAACAGTCTATAAGTAACTTTGCAACTACATGTCAACTTATTATACTAACCTTAACCCTAAGCTAACAGTTTTTATCATACTCTAATGGGAGATAGTTGACATGTAGTAAAAGTACACTGTAAAAGTCTCACTGCTAGCCACAATTACAGTTCCAGATACAATCAATAAGTGCACTTAGATGAGTTCATTCCTAGCCTCGGGAGAGCAGGAATTTGTGTAATACATTTAGCTAAATTGATAAATGTTTAGCCTAAATGTTTTACATTCCTTAAACATCTTTGACATGTTAGAGTAAAATAAAATATATTGCTTAATTGAATCAAATGTAATTAAACGAAAACTACATTAATCTCAATAATATATACAGTACTGTATATAGTAGAATACCATTGGTAAGGTTTATTATTATTATTTTCAATGTTGAAAAACGTTTTGCTGCGTAATATTTCTGTGGAAACCATGGCGCATTTTTTTCAGGAGTATTTGATAAATAGACAATTCAAAATAATAACATTTATTTATTTCATCATGTGCCAGTTTTAGTAAATTTGCAATGGATTGATGCAAATTTTTGGTTTTACTAGATTTATTGCAAATAAAAATGACACTAACGCCAAACATTTTATTCTACTTAACTAACTCAGAGCGCATACCTTAAATGGCTACAGAATTACTGATGTAGCTGATAAAATATAAACTATTACAGAAAATATATAAATTGAATGCAGTGTGAGTCGCTTTGATTAAACAGCATCTGTCAAATATACACTGTTTAAGAAGCAAAAGAAATGCTAAAGTCTTATCGGATTATTATTTTATTTATTTTTGAGGTGTCTAAATAATATAACTAGACCTCTTTTTAAGATCTGAAGTCTACACAACAGGTAAATGATTTTTTTTATTCTCAGAAAACAAATGCAGATGTATCTCAAAACAAATGTGTTACTTTCCATAAATCAAGATAATTGTTTTTTTTCTGTGGAGAGAAAACAATTCTCTTCACAAGCGATAACCTCAGGAAACAGGCTTCCCATATACAGTCTGCAATCTGTCATATATTTGTGTGTGGTGTAGCAAAAAAAGAAAATAAAACATATCTAAATCTAAATTTATTTGAGGATAATGAAGACAGCTATCCTATAAGGATTTTGGCTGTTTGTTCAAAAGTTGAAATATGATGAATTATGTTATTTTAACTATTTTAATAACTATGAATTACTTCATTTAGAAACGTGTTTTTATGAAATAGGACCATGCAGAACACCTCATAAAAACTTGATCGTCTACATGTAGCATTTTATTGGATTAGTTTTATTGGAAGGCATTTTCTGAGATTGAATTGTCTTGTTTACTATTGACTTTTTTATTTATTTGAAATGTAATTTTAAACATTCAAGGGAGTAAGTTTATGCACGTCTCTTTTTAACTCTTATTATCGTACATATCTTGTTAACAATTAATGGACCCATTATCCACTGACAGATATTTGAAATTTTGGATGATTTATATAAATAGTAAAAAAAAAGGTTAATAATAATAATAATAATAATAAATCATAATCACTGCTCAACAATATAATAATAATAATAATATTTTTTGTGAGTGAAATTTTAAACCTACGACTTTTCACATCAAATGCAAGAAATATACCTCTATACCAAACTATCTCCCTATGGCTAACATTTACCATCATCTCTCTGGGGCTTCTTCATAAAGATAAAAATAAAACATGTTACAAATGAATTGCATTTTATATTTGTCTAATAGCCCTTGGCCTCGAAAATGCTCCTTTTTAGTCATTCACAAAGCAGAGCTGTCATTTCCACAACCTTCACAACAAATTGTCTAACAAGTAGCATGTTGATGATTAAAGCGAGAATGTGAATAACAAATCTGGCTATTTCCAGAGAGGTGTCTGAGCTGGTTTAAGACTGATCAAAAGCTGCATGGAGCAGTAAAGAGTCTGAGAGCCTCCACTGATCCAAGATGAAAAGACGCTCTCCACCAGGGTAAAAATATCACAAAGAACCCAAAGATGGCCAATTTCTCTCCTCTCTATTCAGCCTGACATGCACACCTGTCTGTGCTGGTTTGTGGGTGTGAACCCTTACAAGCTGCACACTTCACACACACACAGACGGATCCTTGTTCTGCTTCACTATGGCAACTGGTGACAGAAGAGAACAAGGAATGGTGGAGGCAGGGACGCTGTGAATGAAGAAGGATGACAAACTTAACGGTGTATGAGCGGCTACCAGTGAACCATCATGAGCTGATAAAAAAACAAACAAAGACGACATATCTGAAGGCAACATTATGAATCATCCATCTCAGAGTATAATTGTTTATAATGTGTCGTTTCACTCATGGCTTAACACTTTTTAAGCTGTATCTACAACATTTTCAAACCATTTTCAGGAATCACACACGCGCACGCGCACGCAAACACACACACACACACACACACACACACACACACACACACACACACACACACACACACAACAAACAACAAATTAGCAAATAATATTGAAAATGTCTGTTTACATGCTGGTGCCGGTTCCAAGTTCTACCACAAACATGTATGTAACTTTTTTTTTCTTTTTTTTATTTAAATACATATTTATTTAATATACAATTAATAATTCAGTATCTCATTGCTGCTGTGCATTTTGTCAGTTTTGACAGCAATGTTTTTCATTTAGCAAGGCAAAAACACAAGTGAATTATAGTCTGCCCGGCTTATATTAAGACCAGGGAAGCAGAGCAGAATGTGAGGTTTTTATATTACTTAGGGTACATTTACACGATGATGTACTAAAAACGGAAAAGGTTTTATTTATATATACAGATGACAACGTTGTCAAAATGATCCCTGTTCACATGGATCAACGAAAACTACTAAAAACGCTGTATTATCATGCCAGGCCAGTAGGTGGCGATGTCACTTTGTAAAGAAACACTACACGCCTACAGACTGAACGCGTAAGACGCATACGCATGACGTTCATTTTTTTCACAAATTCACGTTTGCTGTAGTTTACACATAGATGATATTGATAAGGGTATAGTAAAAAAAAAAAAAAAAAACTTGCAGTATGAATACCTTTTTCAAAATTTTGTGTTTTCAGGACCCCAAAACGCCGTTGTCGTGTACATGAACAGCCAAAACGCATAAAAAGTTTTCCGTTTTTCGTTGAAAACTGTGTCGTGTAAACTGCCCCTCAAAATTAGGCCTGTTTTGAGATGTTATGTTGATGTATGACTCAGAGGTCAGTGATTGGCTGATTATTGAAGTCAGTGTAAAACAGAGGCAACTAGGCAGCAATCGATACAGCACTGCACCTGCTGCTCCTCACTGACAGAACAACTACATCAATCTTTGAGGAGAAAAACCTTCTCTCGTCTTTTTGAAACATAAAAACTGACGTACACATAAATAACAGTGCTAATAAATCAGAATGAGGATGTTCACTGGGATTCTAAATAGAACATTTTCAGAGTGCAGAGATTTTCCTTACACAGTTCTCCTATGTAATAACATTGTACAAAAGGTAGCATACGAATCAATGCATGCAATCAAGAGTGGATGTATAAATTCACATTCTGTACTAATAAGCACTAAAGGTACATAAAACATACAAAAACCTGCCATTATTTACTATTTCATTTTCTGCATGCTTTTTAATATAATGAAAGTGAAGAAATGCTGGAGCTTTCCAAATGAAAAAAAAAAACACCACAAGAGCATCATAAAAGTTTTCATTACAACTTGTGCACTATGTATTCCAAGTTTTCTGAAGCAGTATGATAGGTTTGTCTGAGAAATAGACTGATATACTGAGCTCTCATTTTGCATGTTCAACAAGAGTAGGTGATTTGTGAACAAATCATTCTTTTGAATTTAATATTTTCAATGAATCAAATGTTCCAATGCACAAAACCAGCCAGAGTGATTCGCTAATGAATAAAAATCTCACTTAATGGTCAAATTACAGTGATTGATAGCTCATTGGAGGTGAATATTGTCAGTGAATAACAACTACAGTGTAGCTTGAGAGGACTTGGAATATAGTGTGTCTACTTTTATGATTTTATTGTGTTTTTTTATTGTTGGTTGAAACTAAAAGCGGTTTCACTTTATTTGGATGGTCCCTTTAACACATTCAGTTGACTATAAGTAATGTTGCACCTACATCTCTATTAACTCTCACTAGAGTGCATTAGTAGACTGGTAGGCAGGGCCGTAGCTAGAGGATTCGGGGCCCCCTGAAAAAATATTGATGTGGGCCCCCACCACCCTCCACCAATATCATATACTGTACAATAGATGAACATGGAGGCCCACATAACAGAAGATGGTGATGTTGTTGTAAAACCTTTATTTTAAAAGTTAAATGTTTATATAAAAATTACAACTAATAAAAACTAACAAAAAAGCAAGAAATTGTTCAATAATAATAAAACCAATTTTTAAAAAGTAATAATTTTTTTCCCCATCAGTCTGTTATAATTCATAAATCAAAAAGTAAACATTTAGAAATTGACAAGAATGCAGTCTAATTCAAAAAATAAAACCATTCATTGTCTTATTTTTTAATAAAGATGATATGGAACTGGTAATATTATTAAATAAAGCGAATACATTTATTCATCCAAGTGCAGTATTCGTGTTTTCTCGATGTTTTAAATATCATCAGCCGGCAGGTCAGATGCATAATGCAATGCATCGTGACTCGTGTAT